TAGGGCTGTGGAGCTGGTCCAGGAGGGTGGAGGGGGCAGGAGGGGAAAGCGCCATGGTCACCCAGAAGTAAGAGAATGAGCCCCAGGTAAAACCCTCTGGGAAGTAAGGCGCCACTTGCACCACTTTGGTTTGTCCTACAAACAGATACGCACAAAAGGTTCAAGCTTTGTCAGTAAAGAAAGTTGTCAGTAAAGAAAGTATATGTGGACTTTAGCAGTGGATAGAGAAATATCTTCAAGATTGCTGGGAACTTTGCTCAAAATCTCTTTTTTTTTTTTTTTTTTTTTTTTTTTTTTTTCTGTACTGGGGATCGAACTCAGGACCTTGTGCTTCCCAGGCAGGGGCTTGTACCACTGAGCTATATCCCCAGCCCAAAATCTCAACTTTTAACTGCAGGAAACCATGAAGACCATACTTATCTGTGTGTGTGTGTGTGTGTGTGTGTGTGTGTGTGTGGCTATGACAGACTACCTGAGACAGAGGAACTCATAAAGGACAGATTTTTCTCTCCAAGGTTGGGGGCTAGGATGTGCAGGGTCAAAGATCCCTCACCTGGTGGGTTTTCTTGTTTCATCATCCATGGCGAAAGGTGGAACAGAGAAGGGGAAGACAATGCCAGAGAGAGAGAGAGAAGCAGAGACAGAGACAGAGACAGAGAGACAGGGAGAGAGAGAGCAAAGGGGCCATGGGCATTCTTTAACCACCACACAGTAATGATGAAAACATGAGTTCATTCATGAAGGCGGAGACCTTAAAGCAAGTTCCCAGCTCCCAACACTTGCCTTGGAAATTAAGTTTCCACCAGGTGAACTCTGGAGACAAATTCAGACCCCAGCAACATGCAGATGGAGTTAAGCAACATTTAGTTTTCCATTAGTATTTTTAAAAATGCGTTTCTATTATGGAAGTCAGAAAATCTCAAACATTTGAAAGTGCTGGGTAGTTTTTTCTTCTATTTTCTCCCATTAGTCCCTTTCAGAAAGCTTGCTTTTTATAAGAACTATCAAAAGCTCAAGGAAAAAAAAAAAAACCTGTCTCATTTATAAAAGGTAGAAAAGGCAGGGTTGCCCTCAAAGCTTCTTCAGCCAAACACCAATATTATTGGGTCTGAAAAAAAAAAAACCTGAGGAGTCGAAGGCTGTTCCAAGCTGCTACTGATTTTGATGGAATGCTCTCCTTCCTTACCAAGGAGGAGCCCACTTGACCATATAGCATCTGTTTTTTTTTTTTTTTTAGAGAAGACCTTGCACCAGCTTCTTAAAATCATTAGGAGGAATGGGATGAAAATGCTCATTAAAGGTGATGAGCAGATTTAGATGAGGCCTGGAACGGCCCGGATGAGAAGGCACCAAATCAAAGAGATCAAAGATAGGGCAGGCTGCTCGCTGCAACCATGCAGCTCGAAGGAAATGCTCAGGTAAGGGCTTAATTAGGGCTGTCAGTCACACTAATTGCCTGTGATTAAATGGCGTGAGTCAGCGGAGATCAATGCTGGTCCAGTGACGGCCTGATCCCATTGATTGCGAGCTTGGAACCGGAGGTCTCAGGCTTCATCGGGGACACGGAGGGACATTTGATGTCAGTTCCCAGACCCTCTCCATCCTCACCAGCCCGAATCATTGACTTTCTTAAAATATCAAATGGGCGGTTCATCACCATCAAGTCAGGTTCCGGAAGAAGCTCCCAAACTGCCCTTCCTGGATGCCCACGTTTCCAGGCTGCGCTCAGGCTACAGATTTCAGTAATGAAGGAGCAAACCTCCAGTGATCGGATAGGCCATCACCCACCCTCCAGTGGTCAAAGCGCCTCGTTCTGTCTTGAGGTTCTTCCACTCCTGTCTCTCAGAAGCCCACATCCACTTACATTGCCAACTTGCTGTCACTTTGGAGGATTGCTGTCTGAAGACTCCCATTGTCAAATCATAGTTTTCATCCCCAAACCATAGTTTTACCTTCTTCCAAGAAATTCCCTCATTCCCATCATTCTTCTATCTTCACTGATCTCCTTACCTCCAACTATAACCCTGGCTTTGGGAGCTAGGTCTGCTTCAAATCCTTTTGGGTGACTCCTTCTTTGCCTCCAGCTCGCACCCATCCATCTTCCAGGTGTTCTCTCCCCACCCCGCTTCAGAAGCCCTTTCCTCCCCTCTCTCCTGACTCCTCCAGGTCCTCTCCATTCTCTCTATCTGTTTGCAACCCACCCCAGGACTCACTTCACGCTGCGGGGGGGACATCGACTCTGACCGAGGGATGTGCTCTTTGAAGCCGGTTGTCTGTGCTTGGTTCCTTTCTCTGGGCATCATATTTTTAAAACATTTAAAAGTACAGAGTAAATGCTCAAGGACAGTTTATTGGGTCAGCACGAGCATGCATTGCTGGGCACCATACCCAGTCTTAGGGGAGGGAGGCTGCAAAGGGTCTGGATGCATCTGCTTGGCTTTAATAGGATACCAAATAAAGCAATAAAAAAGTTAATCTTCTCAGACCCGCCTTCTGCCTTATGGAGCCTCTGAGGCTATGGCAGCAATAAGGTAGGTGGAGAAGCTAACAGAGAAAACATAAATTAGGTCATGAGAGGATAAAGAGACGGATTTTCAATAGGGTTCAAACTGCAGAGATGGGAGGGCCTAAATTAAATGGATCATACAAAATTCAATAAACAAGGATTGTAGATGGCAGATGATTTATCCTATTATAATTTGAATTAAGCTGCAGCATCAATAACACCCCTGACCTGAAGGTTATTAAGAGACAGCTAATAACATGAACTGAACCAGCGCATGTTGTAGATTACTGCTGAGAATTTAAGGCTCAGGCACTTAGGGATAGGGGATTGATTGCCTCAGAGATGAATTCCACCCTGGGGATCAGGAAGTAGGCCAGGGAGAATCAGCAAACAGCAGTGTCCCCCGGTCAGCAGCCGCAGCCCGGGATCCACAAACACTGACCGGGAGACCTAGCGTCCCCTTGGCTTGCAGGAGCTTTCCACATGAAGTTTCCACATGACGAATCAGACCCTCACTTCCCATTCTCAGAGCACTTACTTCAGAAAAGGGAGGATTCTTTCTCTACTCCTCTGTAGTATCACAGTTCTGCCAGACTCTTGATCATTGCACAACGCAGTAAATGCAGTTGGAAGGACCCGGGAGGCTTCTCTGTGAAACAGGAACAACAAGGGAGACGGTAGCCCTCTCCCCCAGTTTCCACAGAGCAGGTCCTTGCTTTGATGGCGCCCCTTAGCGAACACGGGTGTACTGATCACAGCAAAACATTTTCAGTCTCAGAATTGCTCAAGGTAGCGGATGCAGCCCAGTGATGCCTTCCCAACTTCCCCTAAATCTCTCCACCCTCTCTGCCCATTGCAAATCCTCCTGCCTTCCGTGTGGTGGAGTTCAGTTCCATGTCTCTCCCGTGTCCACGGCTGTGAGTAAAGTCTTCCTTGCGGTTCACTCTGCCCTGTGCACTCTGTACTCCCACATGCGTACCTGAGATCCAGGAAGAGCCTTTTGCTCCCAGCGCTGGTCACTGGCCTGTACTTGGCCTCCTGGAGGCGCACTGAGTGTGTGCGAGCTAGCTCAGCCCTGCTTGCGGCAGGTGGCTCAGGAGAAACAGACCAAATCAAGCACCTGACTTCACCTAGTGAGTTCAAAAGACCTAAATTGACAGGACTTTCTTCCCATATTAGTCAAAAACCCTCCCTGATACCTGCTTTGTGTTAGTGAGCTTGGTCATTTGGTTCACTGGCACTTCTGCTTTTCAATACCACTGGTGCATAATATCGGCAGAGTAGAATTGCATTGTAAGCATAGGCACATTCTGAGCAATCTTCCGAGCTCCTTCATACACGTGCCTTCACCCAACCCCACCCCTTGCCAGGGAAATGTGCTCTTCCACGTTTTGCTGATAAAAAGTGAGTCCTAGATTGTCTCCTGCACTCACAGATAGTGCCAGAGCTGGGATTGAGCACAAGCCGTGTGGCTCCCCAATCTACATGGTTTCACAAAAGATGTTCCAGAGATTGAATTTTATGAACTCAGGATTTCCGGACAAAGCTAAACATGGGACAGCCCTTAGAGAGCTAGCAGGGAGCTCAGTGAGAACCAGACCTCTGAGGGACCAAAGGGGGCTCATGCTGGAGGGAGACCCGTCCTGGCAGAGGAAAGGAAGGAGGGGTGGGCTCTGCATGTGTGTTGGTGGGGCAGGCGGGGAGGTGGTTGGGGAGTGAACAGGGGACAAGTCACAGTACAACTGAAGGACTGAGTCACCTCACTAAATTCTCTAAGACCTCAGCCCCCCTCCACTGTATAACACCAAGGGGACAGAGACTCGCTTCTGCAACAGGACATCATGTGCCCCTGAGTGGCTTTGGGGTTGGGTAGGAGCCAGTGCCATACCAATATGGCGGTGATCATGGAGGCTTACTGGGTCCACAATGGTATGAGGTCTGGGGGAGGGGTTGTTTATGAGTGTAAATGAGCACCAGCCCATCTGTGCATTTTCAGATGTTCTTGTGGAGAGGCTTTCTGGGGGTGCCGAAGAGGGTGTAGGAGCTACTGGAGCTTGGCTTACTTTTGTTCTCTATTTTGTTCTGTATCCACTGTCAGTGAGGGCTGGGGAGGCTCTGGCCCTGCCCAGGGGTGGGCACACCCATGTCTACCCTCTGGCTGTGTCTTCTTGCATTATCTCAGAACTGCTCTCTCCTGGGTCACTTCTGCGTACTCTGGGTGGCTTGGAATCTGTTGATGGAAGTCTTAAAGTCTGCCAGGAGAATTTTCTGTGTTAGTCAGTGAAACTATTACCTGCTCATTTGACAAGAGAAAATTAAATTATTCAGTTTCCCGTAACACAAACACCATCCCGGCCATAATAGTGGAGTGATTGTTTTACAATTAAGGCGTGCCCAGAATGTACATTACCAAGTCATTTTAATAATGTGTGCATTGAGTTGCTTATTTTTTTCCAAAGAGGCAATTCAAATAAGTAATTTAGTGGTAGAAATAAACTATGAATTTAATTTATATGTTCATTAATTGTACAATTAAACAGAATACTAATTGACTGTAGAATTATACCTACATGGAACACTGCACTGGGGTAATTAGTTCTCTTCTGTTTTTCACCATGAACATAATTTCTGGTGGTCTCATCTTACCAAATTGGGTTTTGTTTGGCTTTATGGGAGCATAAATCATTCTTCTAGCATAGAGATTTAATCCCTGCCACACATCCGATGTTTAGCTCTCTTGTTGCAAAGGTTATGTCTTTAAGAGAAAGGACATCTGATCGTAATCGCCTGGGGTGGGAGGGTGCCATGCTAATTGCAATGTCCATCACGTCCTCTGCTTCAGGAAGAGTTAAGGGAGAAGATGAGCCATCAGGTCGCTCCCCAGTTGGACGTGGGATGGGAACTATGTGTCCACCACTGCTAGGGTTTTCACTCCTAACCAGCAGCCAGAACGGCTCTTTTTAACAGTGATCTCTGCACAGGTGGCCCACTGTGACTCTGAGGAAGGCCGACATGGTGGGAAAGTGCATGAGCCCAAAGCAAACTGTCTTTCCACGGAAACAGAAGGCCTGGGCAGCAAACACTCAGCTTGCGTCTTCCCAGAGGCAGCCTCCACGGAGCTCACCTTGTCCTGATCTCACTAGCCGACGGCTCAGTTGCTCTCAGTCCTCTTCCTGGCTTGATTCTAAAATATGCAGAGGCCAGTCCTGATTTTCTCAAGTGCTCAGAAAAAAAAATAATAAAGGAGGACGATAGAAAAGGAAAAATATGAAATGGCGTCTCTGGGAGGGTGCACAGAACTTCCTATTTCCCTTCCCAGCACAGGGCCAGCCCCAGGTAGCAGAGACTGCAGCTCTGCAGCCAGGGGAACTCTGCAGGCAGTAATACTCAGCTGTGGGAGGACCAGCTTCTCTAGGGTTCCTGGGAGGGGCGCCAAAATGCAGATTCCTAGGCACACCGGCTCTCCCATGAAGGGAAAGAAGGTTAAATATAAGGAATTCTTTGGGGCACTGTCCCTTCCAGACAGTGTAGAAAAATCCCAAAAATGCCCTTTGAAGGGAGAAGCTGTCACAAGGTTAGCTAGAGACCAAGCCCTTTCCTTGGGGCTGGGGGTATGACTTAGGGCTAGCACATTTGCCTAGTATGTGTGGTATGCTGGGTTCTGTCCCTGGCATCAAAACAATAAAAAAAAATTTTTTTAAAACCCACAAAATCTTGAACACAGTGTTTCTGAGGGACAACCTTTACTCAATCACTCAACAAATGTCAAGGTGCACCCTGGAGACTGCCTGGGGACTGGGGCATAGCAGCAACAGGATGGACCTGATGCTTGTTCCTTGAGGTGCAGAGTGCATGGTCCTCAATGCAGAAAACAAAACTAGGTACCCAAGGCCATGTCCATGCCCAAGGACTGTCTGTCCCCTGGCTGTGATAACAACCTGCAGTAACTCTGATAATGAAAACAGCACAGACTTCAGATGGTTACTTCTGGCAGGCAGAAATCAGGAGTATTCTCAGGGAAAACCCTTACCTTTCCCAGTTCCTAGAGGGCATCTGCTCACCTTGGCTCACCGCCCCGTTCTCCACCCTCAGTGGAACAGACCTGTCACTCTGCCCCCTGCTGTCTCCGTGTCCCCAAGTCTTCTGCTCTGACTTCCTGCCCCTTTTTCTCCTTCAACCCAGGATCATGTCATTGAAGAGCCTCAGTTTACTCACATATTCAGCAGACCTTTTGCCATTTCAGGTGCTATTCATAGCGGGGCTTGTAGGGGGAGCATCATTCCTCCCGTCACACCCTCATGGGAAGAAGGTGTGCAGAATACCGCAGCACTCGGCCCCTGGGAATGGCAAAGCAGCCCTGTGGGAGGCTTGCCATGTCTGGCATTCACAGTTGGTTGCACCCTCTGATCGCTGTCAGGCAACACTGATGCGACAATAGGGTGCCCAGGAGCAGTGGGGCTGCTTCAAGGCAGGCAACCTTCAAGGCAGGTCCCGGTGGAGAGGATGTGGAAGGCACAGGGGTTGGTGCGTGTGCTGCACTCTGTAGACTCTACCAAGACAGCTTCCTTAGCAGCTGGTTGACATAGCAATGGAAGGTAGAAGGGATTTGCTAAAAGGAAACTGTTTCATGCAGGAGAAATTTCTCACACCATGCACTTCACCAGGAAGTATCTCAACCTAGATTATTTCTAAAATGACCAATGTGTATGAAATGCATAAGTGTACAGGAAGCATAATCAAACAGGTAGCTGGTGCTGCCTCCTGAATGCAAATAGTTAAAATTTGAACAAAAGAAAACATAAGCTCACACTCCCTAGACTCTGTTTTAACAAGCACTGGTGGATGCAGCCCCACCCTTCCTCCCTGGGTTCCCGAGCTTCTGTCCCTTCTTTACTTTGTTCCTAAGTACTTACCACCTTGGGATACACTCTATAACTCACTCTTCTTGTTTTTCTCACTCACTCAGGAAATCACAGAGTTTGTCTGTAATATAAAGGTGATTCATAAATAGTTGTAGAATGAATTAGTGTGATATGCCATACGATTAATGTGTCATATTGATTTAGCATAAGAGAAATCATACCTTTATTGGAGAATTAATCTTGGTGTATTAGTCAACTTTCCATCACTGTGACAAAATATATGAAATCAACAACGGACAAGGAAGGAAGATCTACTTTAGCTAATGGTTTCAGATGGTCCAGTCCATGGCCTGTTGGCCTACTGCCTTTGAGATGCACACAGCCCAGCAGCATGCCATGTTGGGAGCACGCAGGAGAAGAAGCTGTTTACTTTGTGGCAGCTGGGGGGTAAAGGAGAGGAGGTAAATACTTAGGAAGAATTAGAGAAAAATTGGAAAGCGAGCAGTTCTCACACAATGCTGACTCACAGGTTGAAGAGATGGCATTATAATAGCTAAAGATAAGGATTCTTTTCTAAGAATTATAGTTTTCCAAGGAAAATATCAGAAGTAGTTACACAGACATAATTATAGAATAGCATAATTTCAGAAAAATGTTTGGAAGCATAACAAAGCTCTGAGCATTCCGGCAGCAAGTGCTCCCAATGTTTCAAGGAAAATCAGTAAAAATAAGCCAAATTTAGACACATTTTGCCAAGTACTTAAATAATAAACACATAATGCTAGATAATTTTAGAAGGAGGAAAATATGGGTTCATAAAAACAAACATAAGTTAGTGTAGTCTCAGCTTGTTCTTTTGCTACACACCTGGCCAAATGTGATAGAGCCAGGCTGTGGAGAGAACCAAGAAAGGTGCCTTCCAGGACCCCTGCCCCTACCAGGGTGATTGTGGCATGGCGTGAGAGTGACATAGACTGAAGTTCACACGGTCATGAAATGCACCAGCCAGATAAGCTTTCTTGGTGTTATTAAAATATCTACTTCAACTTCAGTAAGAGGTGACTCCAACAATTAAAGACATCTCAAGAGTCTTAAAAAATCCCCTGGGTAAGCAAGCAACTTGAACTTAACAGGATGCTCCATACATGGATTCTGGTTCTCAGGGCAAATTTTCTCTGCAGAGCTGGCCCCTGCCCAGAGATTCTGACTGCTCTGCAATCGGTGCGGAGAACTAGCCTAACAGTCAGTGCATGATTATTGAATAAAATAACCTCATCATAAATTCTCATCCTTCATTCTCAAAGTGGAGAAAATGGACCACAATGTCCAACCGCATCTGCCTTGTGGAAGGTGCACTGTCATTCCCTTCCATTTTATTTTTTGCATTTGCCAGATTTTTGGAAGAAAGAGTCATTCTTCTCAGTGAAAGCAAAAACAACCAAAAAAAAAAAAAACTTTCTATAAAGAGAAGAGCTACATTTTATAGGTCACAGTGACCTGATACCTATTCTTTCTAACATTCAGTTCTAATTGGAACAGAAAACCCTGTATTTTTATCTCATTTTTACAAACCTTTTCAAATGTGAACTTCCAAACCTTATTTGAAACATTTCTTCCATGTCACATTCGGTCAAAATAAACCTTTAATGAAAAGACTGTAAGTTTTTTTTTTTTCATCCAAGATACTCCTGGAAACTTTGGAAGTTAATCTGCAGTTGATAAAAATAAACAAGCAAAACCTGGTTGCACCTGTTTCTGTCTGGATGCCTCTGGTTCAACCATGCACTGACCTTGAAATGGAGGGCAGGTGCTGAATTTCTCTTGGCCCTGTTGCCTCATCTTTAAAAGCACGCAGGTGATATTATCTACTTCAAAACAGCAAAAACAGAAATGAAGTCATCGAAGGAGAGGACAGAAACTCTCCCTTTAAAGATACAGATGACACAAACAAGGTGGTAAGGGGCTGTAGTCATATAAGGAAAAGCGAACTTCTGCCACTACTCCAAAGCATGGCTATTAGTGTTCTGTTAAGCTCAAATTTCATCAGATTAGTGAGTCATCAAACTGGCAGCCTTTTGTGGGTGGGTAGGTTCCCATGACTACCCTCAACCTGGATAACTTACAAGAAGGACTCACAGAGCCCAGAAAAGGTGTTATATTCACGGAAGTCAAATTGATGGTGCATGGCCCAATGCCCTGGGCCAATCAAGACACTCATCAACCAGGATGTTCCTTGGTCTTGAGTCTGGGGCTGACCTTGCAAGAGTTAAGTAAGGTATATCCTCCATGCGCCTTTTACCAAAGGTTTGTGAGTTGGAAAAAAGACAAATGATAAAGACCCATCTTTATGGCACCAAGGGCTCTAGGGCTTAGGGAGGAAGATGGCAGTGAAACAAATGCTGCCCCTCTGAGACGGTGCTTGGTGTGCTTAAATTAGGGCATGTGGCAACAGACTATGACCAAGCCCTCTTGCTGACTGCTGAGGGGGGATCTCACAGACTTCCCAGAACTGACAGCTGAGATGAAGGTTAAGCCAGCTTTACTACTACAGCCCTGCGAGCAAAGGTTTTGCTTCTGCAGGGCCCAGAGTCTCAGCTGTGGCCACTCATGTCCCTGCTATCAAATGGACTGGGCTCAGTGCAAATCAAGACTTCAGTACCACATGGTCTTTGTGTCACGAAATCTTAGCCTCTTCTACCTTTCTTGAGGAACTGAAGCCCAGAGCCCTGGGGTGCTGTGACATTACTTTGTGTGGTACTTGAACCGTGGACACCTGGCTTTATACACTATACATCCCATGTGATGTAGCATAGGAGTAAACCCTAATACAACCCATGGACTTCAACTGATTGTGATGTACCAACACTGTTTGGTTCATTTTCGAAAATTTTGCACACTAATATAATATGTTAATAGAGGAACAGGTGTTGTTGCTGGCTTCTGCAGCGGTAGCAATGACTATATGGACCTTTATATACTATCTGCCCATTTGTTCTGTAAACTTCAAGATAAAGAGCAAAATAAAACACAGATAATAAGTAGGGAGATGATCTTTCTCAAATGGGAAAAAGATCAAGAGCTGGAAGGAGGGAGGAGGCATGGAGGGAGGGGAAGTGAATGAAAAGGAATCAAGACTCATCACAGGCACAGGTAGCAACTCCACACAAGGCCAGGAAGTATTATGCACTGAAAACATGGACCAATAAAAAGTATTCTTATGTGGAAAATATACAAAACTCTATTTAAAAAACAAGGTCCAAAGCAAATGTAGAAAAGCTCATGGGCCATAAGAAATCAGGTGAGATTTTTTATCAAAATAGATTTTGTCCTGGACCTCTTTCAGATCTGATTCAAATTACAGTTGTCAAAGCAATACAGTGCAAAGGGAAACGGAGATGACAACGACAACAAAAAATGTGCCTAGGAGGATAATGAGGGTTTCCAGGGACAAATCATTGCGATGTGAAAGCAAAATACATCATAAGTGTATGATGGTCCAGGACAGCATAGAACATCTAGACCAGTCTTCCTTGCTAGGACTTGGCTTGTGAGAATCATCAAAGACTTTTATGCAAGCTAAGATAAAATCTTGTTTTGGGAGGTCTCTGATTTATTGGTACATTTAAAATATACATAATGTTCACATTCATCATACAGAATTTGTGCATGTATGTGACATATCTTAATTCTTTTTTCCCATTCCCCTATCTTCCTTCAATCCCTCTTTCCCTCCTTATTTACAGAAGATTTATTTCCATTTCTCCCTTCTCTTCTCACTTTTCTTCTGTTTTCCTTCCTTTATCCTTTCCCTTTCCCTAATTCCCCTTCCCATTTGAGCATTTTCTTCTTATTTCATAATATCTAGCATCTACTTTGGTCTTTCTTCACACTTTTGGTTTCTCACATCAGAAAAACAATGAGATACTTATACGTGTGTATCCCATTTATTTCACTTAAGAGCATGGTCTCAAGGTGCACCCATTTACCTACAAATGTCTTGAGTTTATCCTTCTTTATGGTTGAATACTACAACCACTGTGGAAATCAGTGTGGAGATTCCTCAAAAAACTAAAGCTAGAGATTCCATTTGACCTACCTATTCCCCTTCTTTGTATCTTCCCCGAAGAATTAAAAGCATCACACCACAGCATTATATGTGCACCCATGTTTATAATAGCTTTGTAATAGCTACATCTTAGAAACAGCCCAAGTGTCCATCAACCAATGAATGGATAACGAAGATATGGGATTTTTGTACAAGGAGATAAAATTTTATGCTTGCATGCATCCATTAGGGCATCTGACCCCAGTTTTTTGGCCCCAGGATCCAATTTTGAGGAGGACAGTTTTCCCATGGACTGCAGGGGTTGGGGTTTCAGGATGATCCAAGTACACTACATTTATTTTGCACTGGATTTCTATTATTACTACATTAGGTTCTCATAAGGAGTACAGTTCACAGTAGGCTTTGCACTGCCCTGAGAATCTAATGCCACAATTGTCATCGAGCTGACAGGAGGCAGAGCCCATGCAGGAAACACAGAGGGAGCTTCTAGCTTCATCCAGCTGCTGCTGCTCACCCCGTGCTGTACAGCCCTCTTTCCAAGTGGCTAGGACTGGTATTGGTCCATGGCCCTGGGGCTAGGGATCCAGGCATCCTGTGCCTCAGGCTCAATCTTTCAGATCCCCATGGGCAGGGATAGCAAGGGAAGGGAGTCAGTTTGGGCATCAGAGAGGGGCTCTGGACCAAGAACTAGAGGGAACCTTAAGAAATATGGGATTTCTTCCTCTTATGTTGTTTGGATCTAATTTATAAACATGAGATGGACTTGCAAGCAACCAAGAATCCATTCAGCATGCTCACATGGTGTTGGTTTTCACCCAGCTGAGAGAAGGGGGTCTTCAAATTTGCTGTTGGTTTAAATAGCTGTGTTATTTGCAGTGGAAACTTTGAAAGCCAGCCCTAAGGGGAGGCAGGAATGCCTTCAGATACTGTGCTGTACTCAATAAGCTGCTCACCTTCTTCCTTCTTGAAGATGGAGCAATCAATAAAGCATTGCTTTGAACAGTGCAATAAGCACAATTCATTTGGCAAACATGCACTGAGAGCCCACTGCTGCTCCCGTGGCTGCAAGAACTCGTGGCAATTATGAGGTGACATCTGTAGCTGCTGGACAGAGCCTCTGAGTAAGAGGAAACTCAAGTGGTGTCACACTGATTTCACGGGACAATTATAAGTAGATTTTAATGCAACCTGGTATCCTCTCCATGTGGCTGCCCGGTACCTGTAAACAGTGGTCTGTGACCACTTTACCCTGCATCCAGTTATGAGAACACATTCATCAGCCGCCACTTGACACGATGTTCCTTTGTAGCTTCTAATATTTTCATTATGTTGGCCCAGGGCTTTACCTCCTTTCATAAAGGGTAGCAATGGGCCAGCAGCACACACCAACGTTGAGAATGGAGACCCCTCCGGAACCCCACTTTTATGCTGGACACACTCAGCATAAATGAAGTCATAGCCTCAAATCTTAGTTTCATTTGCATTATTCTCTCTCCTTGGGCTTCAGAGGGATTCAAGACCTAATTACCATCTTTTTTCCTGGGTTGGGCATTTCTGTTGATTACATGGTCAATAACTCACCGGAGACAGGCTTGAATGCTGCCTGGGGGAGCTTCCCTGTTCTCCATCTCCGAGACAGTGGGAATCGCGCCTTGTGCCACACAGAGGATTTCCCAGGGAGCAACCTCCTATCAACAGCCTGGTGCTCCTCCACTGCAAGTCCTCCCTTCAGTAAAGCCACAGCACAGGTCCTGAGTCAGCCCACGGAACTCTGCTGTGCATCCCTAGCTCTGCCCTACCTCCACAAAGTTACCTAATGCTCCATGCTTCTGTCTCCCCACCTGCACCTTGGGAAATATATACACATCTATTTGCATCACCCTTAGGAAAATACCCAGCACAAAGTGCGCAATACACGATTGAAATCAACAAAGAGACCTGGACAGAGAAAGCTGCTCTTCTCTAGCGCACTTTCGGGAAAGAAAAGAAGAGAAAGGCGAGAAGCAGCCTGCAATGAGGTTGGAATTTGATGGGGTTTTCATGGCTGGACCTCAGGCCAGGTTCCTCAGACTTGTGTGCAGCAGGCCCTGCATGTGCCAGGCCTTCTGGGAGGTCCTAGCTACTATCTCCCCAGCCCTTCTCTGCTTCTAGTAAGCTGCTCACTGCCATCAGGAATACTAGGAAAAGCACAAGGGCTGGATTTGTGTATATTTGCTCCCAGACGCACACCTTCATGAAGGGCAAGGCTGCTGGCCACAGCAGGTGATGGAGCACGTGGGCAAAGTCGCTTACCAGGACAACTTCCTTCTCAGCTGACCTGGCACTTCCTGATTTCGCCCCTTGCCCAGTCCTCTAGCTCCATCAGCCACTCTGCACCAACAGCCCATGGCCGCAGCACTAACAGCGCTCTGCGAGTCAGCATCCCGGCTCCCTCCCCGCCCAGGCCTCCGTCTCCCATGTGCATGATGCAAGCAGTTTGTAGCTCAGCTTAGAAGCCAGGCTGGTGAGATCCATCCCTCTGGTCTTCTCCACCCACCTCAGCTCTTAACTTCCCTGCTGCCTTTTTGAGATGTCAAATATTCTATACGCTTACATCAAAGGCTCTTCTTGATACCCAGGCTCCCTTCTGGTGTGGGAGAACTTGGCTCAGGCCAGCACTCAGACTAAAACAGACCACAGGGCACAGTGTGCACCTCTCTTGGATAGACTGAGTCCTCACCGTCCAATAAAGGTGACCGACTCAGTGTTATTGTCCTGGTCTGTGTCCTAAATGCAGGTCAGCTCGGAACCCCACTTCTGGGAGGCAGAGAATCTCGGGTGTCTCTGCCTGCAGAAGTGGTGTACTGATAGATCAGGACCTTCTTTGCCTCTCTCATCTTTGCTCCTGCCAGTGATCACAGATTAACCTGTCCCCGCATGGCAGGCTGAGAGAAAA